AATTGTAACAACAATTGTAAAAAAAAAAAAAAACAACACCTGCATTTGAGTGTGATGTTGTTTTAGAGATGTGAGTCGGGCAGTAGCGTAGCGAGGGGGGGGGGGGGGGGTTGGGGGGCGGGGGGGGGGGGACATATGTCTCCGACCTTAGGGGGCGCCAAAATGGGTTGGAAAAATAAATTGAAAGGTTGAGGGGGGTGCAAATTGAAAGTGTGTGGGGGGGGGGGGGGGTGCAAATCGAAATCTTGAGGGGGGTGCAAATCGAAAAGTTTGTCCCCGGGCGCCGGGAAGGGTCGCTACCACAGCCGACCATAATCAATTTTTTTTACAGCTAAAAAAAAATATAATTTTCTTGCATTTTTGACTTGATGATTGTGTTTTATAAAAAGAAGACTAGCAGCGGTTTCATTATCTTTATTCTATAGACACCATCCCGAGTCTCTTTCTCCTACAATCAAACACACGCTGTTGTCGGCAACATTCTTTTGAAAATAAATCCATCGCGTGAAAGATAGGTAAATGTTTTAACCACTTCCATGACTTATCTCCCTTTTTTAAATAGTCAAATATGTGTGCTCTTAAGCACCTTTTAATACATTTGCACTAAGAAAAATTAAAGAGCGATTACTTCTCTTAGTTATTATTTAAAAAAAAACAATGTAAAGAATTACAAGCATAAAAATGAAATGCATTTAAAACTAATAATATAAATTAAAAAAAAACATGAACATAAAAATAACACAAAAAACCATTGCAAATACAAAGCTTTCATGCTTCATATTCTTTCGACCTACTTACTTACAGGAAACATTATAGAAAACATAAATCAAAATTAAAACAGATTTTCATAACAGACTTAAAGCACTCATTCAAATGACTTTTTGTGACTAGTTTTAATATTTTTTCAAAACTAAGAACTTATTTAAAAACTCGAACAATCCCGAAATGAGTACTGTATGTTGGTATTTTCCTATTTTGTTTATATATATATATATATATATATATATATATATATATATATATATATATATATATATATATATATATAAATAAATAAATAAATAAATAAATAAATAAATAAATAAATATATATATATATATATATATATATATATATATATATATATATATATATATATATATATATATATATATATATATATATATGGGGCCCAAAAAATTTCTTTGCGGGGTGGCCCTTTTTTTCTAGTTCCGCCACTGGTCGCTACGCCTCTGGAGTCGGGCTCTTTTGTGAAAATGTGTGACGACTGTAGGGTTGGGGTGGGGGGGGGGGGATCGTAAAGAAATGGTGACGTTATTTATGGATAACCCCTTGTATATTTCTGCTTTGCTTTTTTTCTGCTTAGTTACTGTGTAAATACGGTGCGTGCCTTGTGTTTTAGCGGTACGGAAATATTTGAGTCGTTTAAAGGATTTTAAAAAAAATTCAAGTGCTATTGTTTTTCAAATACTCATTTAAAATAGATTTGTGAGCCTTAAGTGATGATTTTGATAGAAATGGTTTAAAAATAAAAAATAAAATTATTTACTTTAAAAGATAATAAAGCGCCACTGATTATTTAACTATCAAAATAACATCGTTAAATTATGTATTGAATACCATTACTAAAATTGTATCAGTACCCCGGCTTTTTGCGTTTGTATATGTGTGTATGTATGCCTTATATGAATGTGTATGTGTGTGTGTGTTTGCGCGTGCATTCAGTTGTTTTTATCTTATAAATTGCTTTAAAACTTTTAATAACGTGTATTTTCAGCGTGTATCTAGCTAGAGCATTCTAAAAGTTCTGCGAAGGTTCTTGAAACATCAACATAGGGGTCATCCATAAATGACGTCACGCTTTTTTGACGATTTTTACCTCCCCCCCTCCCCTCCGTCACACATCGTCACAAAAAGCCAGACCCCCCTCCCCTAAAATGACGTCACACCTCAACCTACAACCCCCCTCAAAATTGCTGTTGAATTTTTTTAAAGCATCGATATTTTTCCAAAATCTTGTCTAAACCATTACAATTTATTAAAACAGTTATCTAAAACGCGAAATAACGTCTAAAATTCGTTTTCTAACATTGCTTTTTTTATAATTGTGACGTCATGTATGGATTTATGGATGACCCCATAAGCTAGCGCCAACAACAAGATCTCAAGATGACTTCAATTGGCTGACGTAACTTGCTGTTTCATAATAGTGATCCCATTTATAGTTGCGTTACACAGAAAAAGGTGTTTACAAAGAAAAAGGTGTTTACAAAGAAAAAGGTGTTTACACAGAAAAATGTGTTTGCACAGAAAAGAGTGTTTACACAGAAAATAGTGTTTACACAGAAAAGAGTGTTTACACAGAAAAGAGTGTTTACACAGAAAAGGTGTTTACACAGAAAATAGTGTTTTTACACAAAAAAGAATGTTTACACAGTTAAAGTGTTTACACAGAAGAAGTGTGGTTAAACAGCACATACACAGTGCGACATGAAAGGGCCAAAGGTTTATCCTTGTTTATATTACATACTGATCTTTTATATTCTGTTGAATATGGCATTGTTGTATATGGAACACTGATACATAAAACGGAGTTTGCTTGGTTTTTAAATTTTCAAAAAAAGTTACGTCTCTCTTCGTTCTTAATTTTAATGTTGGAAGGAATTCCCTCCAAAACAATTAAGTATTACGTGTCAACTGGTTATGCGCCATTGACGCCATTGACTCCGATTTCAGCCTGCTTTTCTTTTTGGATTTGTTTCCATAGCTTTTGTCCAACCAAGAACAAACTACAAGGCAGCAGTTGTTTGATTTTGGAGTTGTCTCTCCTAGAAGAGTTGCTGTCCCCAGCTAACGAGCCTCATCTGCCCGAGGGTTCCATTTAGCAACCATGAGCTATACCGACGCGACCACACCGACCACCCAAAAAATGCTAACTAAATTAGATGGATTCCGCAAACACATTGTCATAACTAGCTCTTTTTTTTCTATATGCACTATAAAATGTGGGCGTTATCCAGTGGCGGAACTAGAAAAAAAGGGTTACCTAGCAATTTTTTTTTTAGCCCCCCCCCCCTATATATATATATATATATATATATATATATATATATATATATATATATATATATATATATATATATATATATATATATATATATATAGACCTATATATATATATATATATATATATATATATATATATATATATATATATATATATATATAGACATATATATATATATATATATATATATATATATATATATATATATATATATATATATATATATATAGGCCTATATATATATATATAGGCCTATATATATATATATATATATATATATATATATATATATATATATATATATATATATATATATATAGATATATATACAATCACAAAATACGAACATAGGATACTCATTGCTGGCCTGTTCGGGATTTGAAAAACATCAATTTAAAAAAAAATAAACTTCATGTCATGTGTGTATGAGCCTGTGTGTTTTGTGAAAATCAGTTTAAATTAATTTTTAATATAGGCCTTCAGTCGGTCAAAATAATATAAAACATTAAAGCTTTGTATAAGTAATGGTGTCATCTGTTATGTTTATTTTGTATTTATATTATTAATTTTTTAAATGTTATTGATTTAATACATTTTCTTTTTATACAATGTCATTCTTTAGTAAAAAAATAATAATTAAGAGAAATAATTGCATTTTGATTTGTTTAATAAAAATCTATTAAAAGAAGTTTATGATAACCACTATTTGAATATTTTTTTTTAAAAAGGGAAAGAAGTCATGGAAGTGGTTTGAACATTTGTTTAATTGTAGGAGACAGACTAGGCTTTCACAGTGGTTTAAAAACAAAGGGAAAAAGAATATACAAGAGCTTAAGGTGGTGTCTATAGAATAAATATAATCCAACCGCAGCTACGGTAATTTTTTACAATACAACCATCAAGTCAAAAATGAAAGAAAATGCACTTTTTTTTAAAACTATAAAAAAATTATTATGGTCGGCTCTGGGCCCCAAAATGGCGTGTCCCCCCCCCCCCCCGCATCACGGGGTCTGGGTACTGTAGTTCCGCCCCTGGCGTTATCGTGTTCACCCAGATCTGATGGGTACCTGGCCTGAGTTAGGGAAAGTAATACGGCTGGGCATAGTGCTGACCACACTATCTTTTCATATGCCAATGTCACAGAAACAGGTAAACTATACTTCATCAACCCCATATAACGCTATGTTAAAAAGTGTAATATCTACTTATTGTACAATAAAACGAAAAGTATTGCGTAGATAAGTGTGATGGGGTGGGTAAATGTAACAGTGTATACATGGACTGTTCAGATGCTTTGAATTAAAAGTAACATTGGCTAGTGTACATTTATATCTTAAAGCTTTACAATTAAACGAAATCCGTGTTTTGAATTTTGAAATTACAGTTTCATTTCGTCGCCGTTACTTTATACGGGAAATAGATTGTGCTCTTTAAATATGGCTATTTATTTTACGTATTAAAAACGGCACGTTTTCCTATGTGAACTATTAACTCTCCAGTCTAGATGAAGTGATCTTTCTAGCTAATATTACCTCCCCTTTTCTCCTTACTAAATGCGGTTCCTCAAGGTAGGAGATCCAGCAGGAGTTAAGTTCCTTGTTGGTGAATTTAGGTCATCATCTTGGTGCCCCAGGGGCCCTTTGCACTTAGTTGACCAGAGGCGATATTTTAGATCTACCGTTTCAGCTTTACAAAATAGCACAAACATGATCACAATGACAAAACTAAAGATTGAAAGAAAGGTCAGTTTCAGAGCAAAAAATGGTTGCATTACACTATCATCATCTAAATAATAGCTTCACTTGTGTTCTTATTATAGCATTCCTACATGTTGTAATATAATTATTAATATACATTAATTTATATCCATATATATATATATATATATATATATATATATATATATATATATATATATATATATACACGCAATTAAGTAATCCTAATTTTCATTTCTGTGGTGTCCAAACTGCTGTTGATACCAGTGATACCAAACCAGACGATAGCTTTACCATACACGTTACTGCCATAGACACCATTGAGATTTGCACGCAGACAGGAGTTGTACCACCAAGCACCATGGGCAAATACAGCACAGTTATAGGTAGCCATGTCGTTGTCTTTGTCATACGTGGTATACTTCTGGTTGCTGGTGTACGCTAGCGAGTCAACGACATTTCCTGAGAATCCGCTTACAGACAATTTATAAAATTCACTTTCTGGGTACAGTGTAAAACTTGAATATGAAGCGTAGTAACTTTTACCTTGATATGTCATGTCAATCCTGAGCTCATAAGACCTGTTTGCTGTCAGACAGTAAATGTTTTCGTTGCCGAGGTAAAATTCTCCCGCGTCGAAGTCTTCGAACCCGTGTTTGTATTCCTCCCAGTTGCGGTAAAAGTCCACGACGCCGGAGACGCGACGTTGGAAAATTGTCCAGCCCCCTCCATCTGTCACTGTGTCACACATGACGACAAGACCAGACGACAGTTGTAAAAGTTGTCTGGAGTTGGTGGAGTTCTTCACGTCGGCACAAGATTTATAAACAGCTGGGTTGTACAGAACTCTGGTCTGTGTTTTTAGAATTTTTCCTTGTGCTGAAACATAATTACATTAATTAACATTACCAGAACTATATCTATCCATGTTGGCATCAATGAACAAAATATAAAAAAAAAATTAAGCTTTTGAAATATAAAATGACAATAAACTACTTGTGCAGCAATAGTTTTAACATTAACTGATAACTTAAGTTTGACGTGTTACTAACCAATGCAAGCAGCCGTGTGACAAGATCCCATTATCCCATTCCCATCCAAGTAAAATGTACTTGTGAAAAGTTTAGAGTTGGTTGGTGGTGGAGGTATTGATGTGGTGACCACGTCCTTTGGTAGAGTACAAAAACCTGAAATATGAAGGCAAATGTGTTTAACTATCAGCTTATGTGTGTGAGTATCGCCATGTACCATACTAGAATCTATAGCTTGTGGCGGTTTAAAAACCTACCCAACTTGCAGTCTTTACTGTTGTCGTCATAAATAAAACTGTCACAATCACTTTGGCTCATTGCACATTTCATGGCACAATCTAAATCTCCTTCTGCGCTGTGCTGCTCATCCATAGCTAACATGATCAGGTCACTTTTGTTTCGTAAAGTGAACTCCAGGTTTTTTACTTCACATCTAAAGGCTATGAGTAATAGTAAATTAGTAGTCAAGTACTTCTAATAAATAAATCAATACAATGTATATATATATATATATATATATATATATATATATATATATATATATATATATATATATATATATATATATATATATATATATATATACATATACTGTAGCCCGTCAAGTTTTTAAAGAGAAAACAATTCTGTTACTTTAGAAAATATTATAATTTGAAGTAGAATTTTTTTTCTACAATAATGGAAATTATGATACCTAATTTCAATTAATATGAAACCATAATGAAATTAACTTCCTAAAGGTGTAAATCGGATATTGCAAGTGAAGCAAAAAGAAAATTACCTTGAGGAAATAATGCCAGTATAACAATAAACCCGTGTATTTTCATCTTTTGATTTTTCTTCAGATCAAACATAACAGCGAGACATTTCATAATAGCACAGTGACATCAATTTTTCCAGATCTAGTACTTGATTTCTAAAAATAGCTGTACAACATGAGAACTGTTTATAGATAAACAACAATATATACAACAAAAGAAAATCTCCTAATATGTAGATGTAGCACGGTTAGTTTAACCTTCACATATTTACCACTCAGTTGTCTCCCTTTCAAACTTGTCATTTCAGTACGGCTTCACTGGTCACAAGTTTTCTCTCCCCTAAGTTTCACTTCGATGTTACAGGTCTAGCTTGTGGGCTATAAAAGAGAGAAATGCTGCCTTCTCTACTTTATTGACATGTCTATTTCAGAATCAAAACCTTTTTGTTGAAACTGAGGTAAGTTTGGACAATACTGTTTTCTTGACATTGTCTAAGACAAAATAAAATCAATCTATTGTCTTGTCTGTCTTCACGTCATGGTATTGACACCAAAGTTGTGCATCTTGCATGAACTAGTCCTCTGTGACGTGAAACTTTCAGCCTTAGATCTGTCTAATACAGTCACTCAGTTGATGGTCGAGTTTGGTCTACACCTACCTCTGTACCCATTATCTAAAGAATAATTTATTTCGTCTATCGTCTCGTGTACAACAAGCCAAACACCGGCACTGAACAGGAACCACATCGCTGATTTGCGAGCGCTCTGCTGCTCGACCATTGTTTTCCTTTGCAAAATTGCGCGTGTTTGTGGTCAAAACAAAAGGTGTCTGAGAAAATTCTGGAATGTTGCATTCTTGCTACAGGGACCATGTCTGAATACAAAACAAAGCTGAGAGAAATAATGCATACATACGACTGTGGTTAAGACAAAATAAAACAAGCCGATTGTTATTGCTTTCATGGGTTTGAAATTAAGCAGAGCAATTCTAAAAGCAGTAAGAGAATCAGCAACGTTGATGATTTATTTATTTAAAGTGCTGTGTCGACTGATAAACAATAACAATAAGCGAGAACATGCTACATCATGCCATTCGAATGGTAGACCACAGAACATGCTACATCTTGCAATCCAAATGGTAGACCACAGAACATGCTACATCTTGCCATTTTAATGTTAGACCAGAGAACATGCTACATCTTGCCATTTTAATGGTAGACCAGAGAACATGCTGCATGGTAGGTCGGTATGTCTGGAGCTCATTTATAATCTCTGCCAATATGTGTATGATACCAGTAGCTCATATACAATATCTGCCAATATTTGTATGATACCAGGACCTCGGTATACAATCTCTGCCCCCCCCCCCGTAAGATAGGCCTGGAAGAATACCAACAGTTCGCGAAGATCTAGATTGTAAGGACGTCTGTTTGTAAGCGAGCAATAATTTAATGAAAACATTCTTGTTAGGGATTGTGAGAAACACAGTCTAGTGTAGTGTGGGAAACACACAATCTAGCGTAGTGTGGGAAACACACAGTCTAGTGTGGGAAACACACAGTCTAGTGTGGGAAACACACAGTCTAGTGTGGGAAACACACAGTCTAACGTAGTGTGGGAAACATACAGTCTAGCGTAGTGTGGGAAACACACAGTCTAGTGTGGGAACCACACAGTCTAGTGTGGGAACCACACAGTCTAGTGTGGGAAACACACAGTCTAGTGTAGGAAACATAGAGTCTAGCGTAGTGTGGGAAACACAGTCTAGCGTGGGAAACACACAGTCTAGCGTGGGAAACACACAGGCTAGTGTGGGAAACACACAGTCTAGTGTAGGAAACATACAGTCTAGCGTAGTGTGGGAAACACAGTCTAGCGTGGGAAACACACAGGCTAGTGTGGGAAACATACATTCTAACGTAGTGTGGGAACCACACAGTTTAGTGTGGGAAACACACAGTTTAGTGTGGGAAACATACAGTCTAACGTAGTGTGGGAAACACACAGTCTAGTGTGGGAAACACACAGTCTAGCATAGTGTGGGAAACACACAGTCTAGCGTAGTGTGTGAAACACACAGTCTAGCGTAGTGTGGGAAACACACAGTCTAGTGTAGGAAACACACAGTGTAGTGTGGGAAACACACAGTCTAGACTAGTGTGGGAAACACACAGTCTAGTGTGGGAAACACACAGTCTAGTGTGGGAAACACACAGTGTAGTGTGGGAAGCACACAGTCTAGTGTGGGAAACATACAGTCTAGTCTAGTGTGGGAAACACACAGTCTAGTGTGGGAAACACACAGTCTAGTGTGGGAAACACACAGTCTAGTGTAGTGTGGGAAACATACAGTCTAGTGTAGTGTGGGAAACACACAGTCTAGTCTAGCGTAGTGGGAAACACACAGTCTAGCGTAGTGGGAAACACACAGTCTAGCGTAGCGTGGGAAACACACAGTTTAGTGTAGTGTGGGAAACATACAGTCTAGTGTGGGAAACACACAGTCTAGCGTAGTGGGAAACACACAGTCTAGCGTAGCGTGGGAAACACACAGTTTAGTGTAGTGTGGGAAACATACAGTCTAGTGTGGGAAACACACAGTCTAGCGTAGTGTGGGAAACATACAGTCTAGTGTGGGAAACACACAGTCTAGCGTAGTGTGGGAAACACACAGTTTAGTGTAGTGTGGGAAACATACAGTCTAGTGTGGGAAACACACAGTCTAGCGTAGTGTGGGAAACACACATTTTAGTGTAGTGTGGGAAACATACAGTCTAGTGTGGGAAACACACAGTCTAGTGTGGGAAACACACAGTCTAGTGTGGGAAAAAAACAGTCTAGTGTGGGAAACACACAGTCTAGCGTAGTGTGGGAAACACACAGTCTAGTCTAGCGTAGTGGGAAACACACAGTCTAGCGTAGTGTGGGAAACACACAGTCTAGTGTAGGAAACACAGTCTAGTGTGGGAAACACAAAGTCTAGTGTGGGAAACACACAGTCTAGTGTAGGAAACACAGTCTAGTGTGGGAAACACACAGTCTAGTGTGGGAAACACACAGTCTAGAGTGGGAAACACACAGTCTAGCGTAGTGTGGGAAACACACAGTCTAGTCTAGCGTAGTGGGAAACACACAGTCTAGCGTAGTGTGGGAAACACACAGTCTATAGTGGGAAAAACACAGTCTAGCGTAGTGTGGGAAACACACAGTTTAGTGTAGTGTGGGAAACATACAGTCTAGTGTAGTGTGGGAAACACACAGTCTATAGTGGGAAAAACACAGTCTAGCGTAGTGTGTGAAACACACAGTTTAGTGTAGTGTGGGAAACATACAGTCTAGTGTAGGAAACACAGTCTAGTGTGGGAAACACACAGTCTAGTGTAGGAAACACAGTCTAGTGTAGGAAACACACAGTCTAGTGTGGGAAACATACAGTCTAGCGTAGTGTGGGAAACACACAGTCTAGCGTAGTGTGTGAAACACACAGTCTAGCGTAGTGTGGGAAACACACAGTCTAGTGTAGGAAACACACAGTGTAGTGTGGGAAACACACAGGCTAGTGTGGGAAACATACATTCTAACGTAGTGTGGGAACCACACAGTTTAGTGTGGGAAACACACAGTTTAGTGTGGGAAACATACAGTCTAACGTAGTGTGGGAAACACACAGTCTAGTGTGGGAAACACACAGTCTAGCGTAGTGTGGGAAACACACAGTCTAGCGTAGTGTGTGAAACACACAGTCTAGCGTAGTGTGGGAAACACACAGTCTAGTGTAGGAAACACACAGTCTAGTGTGGGAAACACACAGTCTAGTGTGGGAAACACACAGTGTAGTGTGGGAAACACACAGTCTAGTGTGGGAAACATACAGTCTAGTCTAGTGTGGGAAACACACAGTCTAGTGTGGGAAACACACAGTCTAGTGTGGGAAACACACAGTCTAGTGTAGTGTGGGAAACATACAGTCTAGTGTAGTGTGGGAAACACACAGTCTAGTCTAGCGTAGTGGGAAACACACAGTCTAGCGTAGTGGGAAACACACAGTCTAGCGTAGCGTGGGAAACACACAGTTTAGTGTAGTGTGGGAAACATACAGTCTAGTGTGGGAAACACACAGTCTAGCGTAGTGGGAAACACACAGTCTAGCGTAGCGTGGGAAACACACAGTTTAGTGTAGTGTGGGAAACATACAGTTTAGTGTAGTGTGGGAAACATACAGTCTAGTGTGGGAAACACACAGTCTAGCGTAGTGTGGGAAACACACATTTTAGTGTAGTGTGGGAAACATACAGTCTAGTGTGGGAAACACACAGTCTAGTGTGGGAAAAAAACAGTCTAGTGTGGGAAACACACAGTCTAGCGTAGTGTGGGAAACACACATTTTAGTGTAGTGTGGGAAACATACAGTCTAGTGTGGGAAACACACAGTCTAGTGTGGGAAACACACAGTCTAGTGTGGGAAAAAAACAGTCTAGTGTGGGAAACACACAGTCTAGCGTAGTGTGGGAAACACACAGTCTAGTCTAGCGTAGTGGGAAACACACAGTCTAGCGTAGTGTGGGAAACACACAGTCTAGTGTAGGAAACACAGTCTAGTGTGGGAAACACAAAGTCTAGTGTGGGAAACACACAGTCTAGTGTAGGAAACACAGTCTAGTGTGGGAAACACACAGTCTAGTGTGGGAAACACACAGTCTAGTGTGGGAAACACACAGTCTAGCGTAGTGTGGGAAACACACAGTCTAGTCTAGCGTAGTGGGAAACACACAGTCTAGCGTAGTGTGGGAAACACACAGTCTATAGTGGGAAAAACACAGTCTAGCGTAGTGTGGGAAATACACAGTTTAGTGTAGTGTGGGAAACATACAGTCTAGTGTGCGAAACACACAGTCTAGCGTAGTGTGGGAAACACACAGTTTAGTGTAGGGTGGGAAACATACAGTCTAGTGTAGGAAACACAGTCTAGTGTGGGAAACACAAAGTCTAGTGTGGGAAACACACAGTCTAGTGTAGGAAACACAGTCTAGTGTGGGAAACACACAGTCTAGTGTGGGAAACACACAG